TACAAAAGAGTAAGATATGCAGACATACATTCATAAGTCTAACCCTGAATCTATAGCATATGTTACATAATAAGAAAATAGGATGAACATAAACAAATAAGATCACACTCTAATGACTATAGTTTTCCAAGATGATGGTTGGTTACAACAAAAGTGAATTTTATACTCAATACAGATAAAGCCCTAGGCTTGTACACAATAATTACAACAACTGAACAAAATGAAGCTCTTGCGTCAAGTCCTCCCAAGCTATTGCCTTGGTGGAGGCATATCATCCGCACCTGAAAATGGTTTTTCACATAGGGTGAGTCAAACCCTAGTAGAGACACTACAACACAGTTTATCAATCTTAACAAAGTTATAAGGTTAATGCATATGTAATGCTCATAACAAACATTTATATCTCTTTCCAAAATCATACAATGCCAGGTTTATATCACAATTCATAAAAATCATTTCCCTTATAATAGAAAACATGACTATGAATATAACTCTGTGAATCTCTAGGTACGTGTCTGCAAGTAGACTATACAAGTACTACCAATTTGTCATTTTTACCAATATTAACTGGAAGGCTCGACACCTGTCCACGTAGGTTTCTGGACTTTTACCAAGGACACACAGACCAACTTAACATCATAACCACACCTCTTACCCAAATTCACCAAGTATTCACCTTTTTTTTTCTCAAAATAATAAACATTTTCAATGTGTTAATATGCAACAATGCCTAATGCAAATGGATGAGAAAATAGTTTCAATTCTCTTAATTCTCTTGCAATTTCTACAACAATCATAACTATCCTCCACCAATAGCCCAAAACAGATATCTCTAAACAGATAAATAATTTCCATAAAGGTAAACTTTCCAAAATTCTCAAGATGAGAGTGATAATACATATCCAACTCCGCCATTCTCATCAACATCAATCCAATTCCACATTTCCAACATCAATTTCATTTATTATTACAAAATCAACATTTGATATTCTTAGGGAAAAATCCCATTTCCTTTATAAATCAATTTCAAAGATGAAAATCCATCATTTCATCATAACTCAATAATAAATACATTTCCTCAATCTTTTCCAACAATCCATTTGAAAATTCCCTCTTTTGATTTTTAACCCAAAATCCCCAAATCACAATATTATTTTAGAAAATAACAAATAACTAAGTTAAAAATCATAAGAAAGTGCAAAGAATCCCTACCTCAAGCTTAGAAGACAAGAGAAGGAATGGAGAAACTTCAATAACGGTGAAATCCAACTTTGCTCCGATCAAAAGGAAGCTCTCAGAGTGTTCAACCTTTTAATCAAAGGGACACGGGTGAAGAAATCAATGAATCTAGTTGTATTTGTATCTTTGGGAAAAAGTGAGTTTTAGAGAGAGAGGAACTTAGGATTTCTAGAATGTTTAGAAAGAGAGAGATATTAAAAAGGGAGACAAAAAGATGACTTTACAAATTGATATACGTGCAGACTGCTAGAGCACAAGAAGTGTCGCTCGAGCGACCAGACACAATAAGTGAGACCGCTCGAGCGAAGAATACAAACTCCCCAAATTTTTGCAGACAGAAGACCACCGCTCGAGTGAACGCCGCTCGAGCGCAAGAAATACCGCCTGAGCGAATAATACCAACTCCTAGTATCTCTGTAGGCCTGTAAAAGTACTGAGAATTCTCAAAGACCGCTCAAGCGCAAGAAGTGTTGCTCGAGTGAAGAAGCCAAAATCTGGGCAGGAACTATTTTGAAAAACTAACTCTTGACCTATTCCAAACGCAACCAAGACACTCCAATAACCAAACTCAATAAGGAATAAGGAGAATAAGACATGAACAAACTATATAAGACAAAGAAACCTGGATTTAGAACATCAACGGGTCGGGTCTAAACCAGAATCGCTATAACGTCACTCGGGACAATCTCGTGTCCCAACCAAAAATGAAAATGGGTCGCGTTAAACTAACCCGGGCCACTACATAATGTATAATGGAAACAATGAATGAGTGTTGTTGGTTAAATTTATGAGTTGCAAAAATGAATGACATGAAGGATTAATGGATTGTGATGTTGGGAATAAGGGTTCATTTCCTTCCGACTAGTGACCGATAAAGCCTGGCGATTGATAGAGGTTCCGCTTTCCTTCCAGAGTAGTTCTTGGAAAAGTGTGTGGGCTGTTGAGATATATGGAGATTTCGCAGTCTTTCTCGCTTGTGATCGGTAAAGTGTGGCGCTTGAAATAGTTCCACCTTTCTTTTCGGAGTAGCCCCCGGTAAACTGTGTTGTTATGACTTGGTAATGGAGCCGATTGTTGGCAATTGGACTTTTTGTAAAAGAATTGTAAGGCGACTTGTATATATAAATGTCATTATTGGTAATGGAGAATTGACTTGTGTGATTGGAATATGATTGTAATGAATTGAACTTTTGTAGATTAATTATGTATAGCGTGTTGATATATGTGTATGTTTTGGGATTGTGCGGATTATGGTGAGGATGGATAGTTAAATGTGTATCATCTATGTTTAATGGTAGTACATGGTTAAAAGACCTAAGGTTTTTGTCTAAGATTCAAAGAGTTTTTTTTTAAAGGAAAATTCTTCGGGTTTATTCAGATAAGGTAAATCGGATGAGAAGATAATAAATGAGTTTTCTTTGAAAGTCTAGTGAGACTTTACAAAGAAAGTATCCACCTATGTATACTTTACTTCGGGTAAAAAATGCACATTATCTATATATGTATCATTTGTTAGTGTTCATGATCACATGTATCCATTGATCTTATTGTTTGGAATTTTTGTAGATCTCTACTGGACATATTTATTCATCCCACATTGTTGTACTATTTTCAAGAACGGAGTCAAAAACACTGATTTGAAGATCGAGAAGTTAATTGTCCTTTAGGAGTATTATTTTGTAGAGGACAAATAAAGATGTATAGTGTGGCGAAGTGTTGAAGTGTCAATGTATACTCTTGTATAATTATTTATTTTGCAAATTTAAATGTACGCCAAAGGGCATGTGTTTGTAATGTATCAGACATTCTATTATTGTAATCATTCTGGAGAGAACATTTTCTTGTTATTCAATCGTAAATATTCTTATTTTTCCTATTTGCATCATTTAATTGGATTTCAATTAAATGTTTTAGTAATATATCTGGATAATAAAATTTGGAGTGTGACAATAATTAATCTCAATCTTTCATTCTCTATTCTCTTTTCACTTTTTGCACTTTACGTTTTCATACTCAATCCTATTTTTTTTAAATCTAACTTTCTTGCATTCTATTTCATATTAAAGTCAACAATAAACAATGAAGAATAAATTTTCAAGTTTTTATTTATATATATATATATAGAAAATGTAAGTTTTTTTTGTTCACCTTCATCATTTTTGGTCATGGATTTTCAAAATTAATTCAGAAATTTAGTATGAAACAAATTATATTTATTTTGAAACTTATTTCTAAAAAAATTTCATATCTTTAGGCCTTGTTTGGGAATAGGCTTTTTCAGTAACTTTTTAGATTTTTGGCTAAAATGTGATGTAAAAAAAAACTAGTATTTTTGGGATGACTTTTAGACTTTTTACGAAAAGATGTGCAAAAAGTAGAGAGAAAAAAGAATCTTTGACTTTTTGTTATGAGTTGTTGGCTTTTTGATTTTTTTAGTAACTTTTTAACTTTTTGGTTAAAAGGGACACTTGCCAAACGAGGCTTTAGTACAGCGTTTTCAAATTATTTGATATTGTTCATTATCTAATATCGAAACAAATTATTTATATTTGGTGATGTATATCCAAACATATAATTATCTAACTTTTTCATATTCTAATTTTGAACCCAAAAAAAAAAAAAAAATCAATATTACATTTCTTAACAAATTACATATGTTCAAAATCTTTTTTTACATACTTTAATTCTATTCAGAAAAAAAAAACAAATAAAAAAAAAACAAACAAACAAAACAAAATTCACATCCATTTTTGTCTTTCCCCTTATTCTCCATCTCACCTTGTCCACGGCCTTCCTAGCACCACCTCCTCAGACGCCCTCATGTGGTACTCTCATCTCTCTCTCTCTCTCTCTCTCTCTCTTCTTTGTTGATTTGTGTTGCTTTCTTCTTGCAACTGTATTTGTATATGATCCTTTGGATTCCCAATCCTCCAAATCCAACACTGGTCGCAAATGTGTTGGGGGGAAATTTGATCATGCAAATCTCAGGTTTCTAATTGTTAGATTTCTAAAAGTGGTTTAGAATTTCTTGCTCTTCCTTTGATTTGTTATTATTATTATATGCACAAAACTCACTTGTATGAACTTTTGAGCAACACTATCAGCTTGTTTGGTTTGTATTTCAACATACAATTTTTGAGAAATTTTGTTAGGTTAAAATTTTTTGAATTTTTTTTTAAAATCACTTCTCTCTCTCATACATATAATCAATCGCTTTGTATCTCTCCTCTTTCCTTCTCAATTACTTTTTTCTTTCACACACGTCTACTCAACTATAACAAAATATCAAATAATTCCAAACTCTCAAACTATTTTCAAAATATATAACCAAACAAATCAAAAAAATTTCTAAACTCTCCAAAAAAAAATTTTGAAAATTTATCTCAAAAGACAAACCAAACACATCCTCAATTTCCAGATAACTGTATTCAAAAAACTGAAACCAAACACACTGAATATTCCTCACATGCAGACATGGAGCTCGAGGATTCATATAGGACATGCTCTTAAATTTAGGGTGTCATAGGATGAGCAAAGCAAGAGAGAGTCATCCTCTACTTCTATTCAGAAGCATCAAACAAACAGTTAGGGATATTAAAGTTATGCATCAGACTACACAATCTCCTTCGCATAGCACCAACACCAATTCTGATGATGAGCATTCCTCTATTAGTGGGGCATCTTTACCTTTTCTTTCTAGCCACTCTGAAAAGAAGTGAATCTTCTCAAAGGAGCTCTCATTCCCGACAAAAACAGGCCTCTCCAAGCAAGAAATATTTTTATCAATCTTCATCTCTATAATCAGATACAAAGAAAATAAAATAAAATAAAAAAATTCATAAACAAGGAATGGTCTTGGTAACAATTAGAGTTAAGCAGATTGCTTCAGAATCCCATACATCGAGCAATGATGATAGTGATATGGAGGATGCATGTTTGTGCCCTGATGTTCAAGTCTCTGCCCCTCTTCAGATTCTAGTGCCAGTTCTATCCAAAAGGTCAGTCAATCAACAATCAAAATCCAACAGGACAATTTGATTTTGGATAAGAAAAAATGGCGCATCCAAGCTTCCATACTTCCACAAGGCAGAAATAGCATTACGAATGGTATTGACCATAATAATCTGACTTCAAAGAGTGCAGTGGACTATAATGGTCATGGAATTCGGTCAAACTGTGCTCCTAATCATCAAGGATGGCCATCTTGGCCGCACCGGAAACTGGGACATTTGTTTTGTAAAATGTTTTTCGCACCACATAAACATACCCACAAACATTTCAAAACAGAAAGCAGCGCCACAACAAAAGTTTTAAAAAGAGTAACCAACTACTATCTGGAAATGACTCATATTAAGTTGCAAAGCTCCATGACAACAACTGCAGATAACTATATCATAACATGCTTCTTATTTGACAGTAACGGTAAAATATTTGCTCACTCAAAGCACTCGACTTCACCCATGCCTTCAGTACCTATGCTCCATCTTTTCCCTTTCTTTAAACTGCTGGACATACCTGTATGCATAACAAGATAAAAGCAAACAAAATTAGTATGCTTACTACAAATCAGCATTAGCTGAGCAACTCCAATAGTCAAAGCTAAAATGGCTTTCCAAACGCATTTTTTGGCTTGCTACAGGGAAAAAAAAACTATTTTTTGGCTATAACACTCCAATGGTAACTTGTCATCTTGGCACAACCAAGTTTCACCTCAACATTATCTAACTAATATCGGCATGTGACACTCCAGATCGACCAAACCCCTCCTCTCTCACTGATCCAAATGAATATCATGTCTTCTATTTTTTTAAAAGATGGATAATTGTGATTATTGGTTCTAGTTAACTTCAGTAATTGTAATTTTTAGCATTGTTAAAGTGTTTTGTAATTTGCAGAATTTTCTGCAGATTTAGAATTTTTGGTTGAGTTTTGGTTTGTTGAAATCATAAACTCTAATAGGGAAAACCAGTTGATGTTTTGACAAAAAAAAAAAAAAAAAAACTGATTTGGCAAAAAATAGCTTTGTCAAATATTGAGCCAAATTTGGCACAAGATTTGGCTTAGCCAGTTTTTGGCAACGAATTTGGCTCACCATTGAAGACACGAATTTTTGTAAGGTCAAGCCATTTTTGGCTTTGGCAAGCCTTTTGGCTTAACCATTGGAGTTGCACATGAAGCAGGTAACATATATTACATTTCTTTTACGTGAGTAATAATAACAGATAAATCTCTTGTATAAAGTATGCTTCACCTTGATATAATTTTGCCTACCAACAGGTTCCTAAAACCATAAATCAATATGCATAGCTCCCAAACAATTAGCATACAAATTTAATGGCTCACTATTTGCTTTTTCTCAACAGTGTAAGGCTCCAGAAAACACACATTGATACCATGTGAGGACTTTGTTTAACATGATGTAAAGAAAAAGTTGGCCAGAATCACCACACGTTGGGTACAAAAGTACAAAATTGCATGTAAAGTATTAAAATGCTCCAAGTAATGACTAGAGAGTGGTAAGTTAGTGCTGTTCTAAGGAAGTGGTAGCTGTTCCAGTACACAAATAAGGTGGGTTGGTATCAAGTCCACTAGATGGAAATGAAATGAATTTCCCCTCAACTCTGTCACATCTTAATGCATGATTTAATGTTGAAAAAAGGAGCCATAAAAAAGAAATAAGGACAGACTAAATAATACAACAATTAGTTACAGAGGTGAGAATTGTGGGATAGAATCTTCCTCACTTGCTTAGCATTTCATTTTATCATTATAATACTACAACAGATAGCATCACGTTACTACAAAGGAAAAATTCATTGATATCAGAACTGTAGAAAAGTGGAAATTCCTCATTCCACCGTTTTGAGTGGTAACTCAACAACAAAACTGATGCTTCCCAGTAAAGTAGGTAATGTAATTGCATAGTAAGATTCATTTTAGTGGTGATAATATATTATAGTAAGTTAAGCTTCCAAACATGTTAAAAAAGTGATGACACACTAATCAATTTGGTTAGTATCATGTCCTTTCTTATTCCTTAGGCTGGTTAAGAAGCAAATTCTTCTGTTGGATACAGATTTATGTTATCCACTAACAGGTGGTATCTAATCCCCAATCCAAACAGTCTGGCAAGTGCACAATTTTCATCAATTCTATATATGATAGTCAAAACCCAACATTTCAAAAAAAAAAAAAAAAGGCAACTAATGCACGAGACTCAAGCGAAAACAGGGTGGGCAGGGCAAAATGGATACAGCCTTCTCCACATTACCGGAGAGGTGGTTTCCTTGATTTGAACCAACACCACTAGGGACACTAACAACAAGCCTCACTGTTGGGCCAAGCCCCCCTTTTCCAACATTTCAAGGAAAAAGAAAGAGACAAACCACCAACTTGGTTAGTCCTATTATAATATTCAAAATTTCAATCAGAATTTGAACTTCAACAAACTTGACAAAGGGTTCCATTAAGCTTCGTATATAATTTGTTTCACGAGATTTAGATACATCCCTTCAGACCAGAACTTTGAGCAACCTCACAATAGAAAAGCTAATCCAGACTGAATGCAAGTTGAGATGACTCAATAACATATGAATCATAAGCATAGATATCTACTTGGGTCATTCAGACAATATATTTCCCTCCTCTTCGGTATGAGAATTATTCATTTACACTATGTTTGATAACCTAAGAGAGAAAAGAAAAGGAAAGATTGTGATTTCTCTCCCTCTTGTTTGAATAAATAGGAGAGAAAAGGAAAGAAAACATATTGATTTCTCTCCTATCTTGTTTGGTTATGCTATACAAAAGAAAAAAAAAGCAATGAAATGAAATAATATCATGTTATACTACCAAAATAACATTTTATAGGAATTAGTATTTTTGTTTCTTTCATATTTGAAAAGGTAATTTGGTCTTACAACAGAATAGCATTTAGTTTCTCTCCATTTCTTCCCATTTCTCTCCTCTTTGTTTATCCAACCAAGTCATATGGACTGTGAGGGGAATTTGCACAGTTAGTACGGCCGAGCTACGATAGTGCTGGTCGTGACAAACTACACGGCGCCGCGCTATTTCCTATATTGAGACGGCCGGTGGCTCTGTTTTGCTCGGTTAAGGAGATCGGCAGACCAGGCGTGAACTACGCCCGGCCGAGCTGTGACTTGTAGACATTTGGTAGGGCACGCAGTCGAGTGGCGAGACTGGGCTACGGGTAGCTCGGGCTAAACCGAGGACGAGGCGAAGGTCGGCATGCCTTTGAACAGTTAGCCGAGATGGACAGATTCCAGATAACCTCGGATGAAGGTAGAACGGATGGAGGCCGGCATGCCTCGGAATTGGTAAGCCACAATAAACCGGTCAATATCAGCCCGGTCATGAGCATCACCCCTTGGCCCCTTTGCCAAAGGGACAGGCCGGCGACACATAGCTTGGTTGTGTGCATGTGGTAACAGTTCTCCACAAGGGATAGGCCGATCGTGGTACTCCGGTTAGATGTGCCACCTGGGCCAATGGCGTGAGGAAGAGGACATCTGCTCCACGCACACATCATTACCGTTGGACAGTTCTGCGTGTATTGGTGGGAGGACTAAGCCTTTACACGCGTAAGGTGGTGAGAGGTGAGCACCGTCACCTGTCCAGGGAAGGACAGCAGAGATAGTGCGCGTACAATCTTGACGCTGCATGGCCAGCCTAGAAATAGAAGGAAAGAGGAACGTTAAAGGTATGCAAAATTCACTCTATCGCTAACACTCTCTCTCTCTCTGATAGCCTTCTTCTTCCTCCAGTGGTCTGACTTGATCGTCGGAGGGTCTATCAGGCACACCACCGCCGGGCAGCTCACCATTTCTGTGTTGCAGAGATAGACGCCGTCACGAGAAGCTTGACGTCCAAGGAGTACGGAAAGCAGAGAATATTTCGCCCCCGTACATGGACCAAGAGAAATGCATTTCTTTTCTTTCCAAATCACCCAATCCAAACAGGCCGTTAATTAATTTCTTTTTCTTTCTTTGTTCATAAAATCAAGGTCGAGCTGATGAACACCAATAATGCCAAATCCCATTGATATGAGGACACAAAAACTCAACACACAAAAGCTACTCATGAATAAGAACAACCACAATTTTCTGCATTTATCAACCAATCAGAAAGCCCCTTGTAGTCAATGTGTGAGATTGAGGATTCTATCAATCATCAGCATCACAATCAAACAACCCTAGACTAACATAAACACATACATCCATAGACTAACATAATCATAAAAACACAGAGAGAGAGAGAGAGAGAGAATTACGTGTAGGTAGCGACGAGAGGGGTGAGGAGGAGGGTGGCGCTGATCCAGTTCTCGGAGACTTTGTGGTGGATCTTGGAAGGGAGATCCTTCCAGAGACCAGGCATCACCTTCTGTTGGAACGGCGACAGCGCGTACACCACCGCCTTCATCCTCGCCGGTGTCTTCCCCATATTCTCTCTCTCTCTCTCTCTCTAGTATCTTCCACCCACCGCGTTCGTTAAAAATAGACACGTGGGGATTTCCAGAGAATACCCCAAATGTGGGCTTTTTGCGTGATGGGCCTTGGTCGTTTGGGTCAGCTTTATACCCAACCTCATGACTATTCATACTTTCAGGAAAAATTATTTGGTACTTTTAGGGCGTCACGTGGCAGTGCCCCTTACTGGGGTTGCAAATAAATAAAATCGTTCTTGAGTAGGCCGAATTCGGTAAGAACTCGTTCTAACTCGATTTGTTAATTTTTTATTTATTTATTATTTTTTTTGTGTTCGGACTCGAACTTGAATTCATTAAATTTTTAATAAACAAATCTAAATATACTAAAGTTTCGCTCATTAACTGGCTCGTTTAATATTTATTATTTATTATTAAATAATATAAAAATATGTATAAAAAATAACATGAATATATTATTTATATATTTTAAAAATATAAATATAAACAATAGTTAACTATAGATAGTATATTTATATAATAATAGTGGTAGATATTATTATTTTGGTAAAATATTAACTTTTTTTAGTATGTTTATATATATTGTATATATAATTGTATAATCAAAATTTAAATTGTAACTTTAGTCTTATACGCAACTATGAAGTAATAATTTTTTTGGCTTGTTAAAGCTTGTGAACAGATTCGAACTTGAATCAAGTTTAAGTCAACTCGGCTTGAGCTCAATTTGTTAAATTTTTATTGAGCTCGAACTCATTGAAATCTTAATAAACAAGATTAAATATATTAAAATCAGCTCGGCACATTTGCAACCATATCCCTTACCAATCACAAACCTCCATGTCTCATCATGTTCTCTAATCACCTAACACAAATTTATAAACTCCATCCCCTTGATCAATTATAACACCATTGATGTCTCAAGATGAACCAATAACTTCTCTACTTTCAGATAGGCCAAAAATAATAAAAAAATAAAATAAAATAAATGCAAAAGTTATACCCACAGTCTTTAGATTTTATCTCTTATATTATTTGAGTCCTTACACTTTCTATTAATAAAATGTATTCAAAGTTAGATGTCTCTGTACTGTATAAGTTTCTTCTACTCACTATGTATGAAGCTAACGATTGAGTGTGAATATTAGAGGTGATAAATGGGTGGGTATAGGCGGATTTAGGCATATTAAAACAGCTTATACATTTAAAGCAATTTAATTCAAACTTGTTCATTTAATAAATGAGCTTAATCGGGTTTGGTTGAATTGAATACAGGTTTAATAAACAAATCCTACCAACCCATTTAATCTTTTTTCTTTCTCTCCAAAGAAATTCATTATTTTTATTTTCTTTAAAAAAAATATTTTTATTTTTTTGAAGAAAAATATTTTTTATTTTGAAATTTTTTTAAAGATTTTTTTTGAAAAAATATTTTTTGTTTTTTAAATAGTTTGACAAAATATTTTTTTATTTTTTTTTAAAAAAAATATTTTTTTTATTATAAAAAAATTATGGGCAAATTACAAACACCCCCTTCGAAGTTTGGTGAAAATACAGATTTCCCTCTGAGGTTTGAGAAATTACATCCTGTCCCCCTGAGGTTTATATTTTTATAACAAATTGCCCTCTAAGGTTTTTATTTTCATACAGATTCTCTCCTAATTTTTTCTAATTTGTTATGAAAATTTGATTCTCAGGGGGCAATTTGTAATTTCTCAACCCTCAAGGGGAATCTGTATTTTTATCAAATCTCGAGGGGGGCGTTTGTAATTTGTCCAAAAATTATTTAAAAAAATTATAGAATTGGTGGTAGAGTGGTGGCCATTTAGATGGGCTTACATGAGTACTCATGTAAATCCTATTATAAATCAGTTGACAAAAAGAAACTCATTTAAGCTCAAAATTAAAAAATATGAGTTTTAAATGGATATAATCGGACAGGTTTATTTGCCATCTCTAGTGAATACTATTTCCCTTGCAATTCCCTCTAATGCCTATTTTTTTAATTTTGTTGCCACTCATTGAATAAGGATGCAACATTGTGTCCAATATGAGCAGTACTTGATTTCATGCTAAAGCTTAGCTTGATCCACGAGCTTGAGCATGAGCATTAGCATAAGCACAAGCATAAGCATGGGCATGGGCATGGGCATGGGCCGTCGTGTGAAGTACAACACCTTACAACTAGTATATCTATATGTGAGACAAAGTGAGTGTTTGGGAAGTGAATTTTTTTGTAAGTTTTTTTAATTATAGGATATTATTAGAGAATTTTTTTTTTTTTTGTGTTTGGAAAGATAATTGGTTTTTTTATGGTTGGATGTGATATTTGTGAAAGAAAAAGTGAAATGATTATGGAGTTTGCTGTAATATTTTGTTTGGATTTGTTTTTTTTAGTTTTGTAAAACTTTTGTTTTGTAGCGAAAAAAAAAACAAAAAAAAAAACCTAAAAACTAAGTTCCCAAAAGAAGTGAAGGAAAAAAAAATAGAGAAAGAAAACAAAAGAAGTGAAGGAGAATGAGGGAGACTAAAATTTGTCACCATTTTTCTACCTTATTTCCCTTTTTGTTTCTAAGTAAGAAATTTTTTTAATAAATAGGGTAAATTACAAATACTCCCTCCGTCCCAAAATATTGGTCTATTTTGGGGAATCCAACTTTTTTTGGTAGTACACTTATTGCATTTGAAAAAAGTTGGTTTTCCAAAATTACCCTTTTGATAGTACATTTTTTGGGAATACCAATGTCATAATTGTACTTTTTAAATTGTTTATTAATTAAAAAGAAGGGCAAAATAGGAAATTTATATTATTTTTGTATTTGATTTTTGAAGAGGGACTAATATTTTGGGATAATAAAAAATGGAATAAGGGACTAATATTTTGGGACAGAGGGAGTAATTAATTTACAACACAAATACGAGTAAACTAAGCAACTAACATTCCTAACTATGCTACCACTACTAAAATAAAATTAAATTCAAATATTTTTGGCCCAAAAAGATTAGAAGCCCAACCCAACCACACACTACGCACCCGCGCCCAAGCCCAGCCCAGCCCGCCCTACCGGACGGACGGCGGCGGCGGCACGCGCGTGTGTGGTGATTTTTGGGTCCAATGGGTCTAGCCCATTTTGCCCATAACCTCTCCCTCTAAAACAGTTGGGTACCCCTTGGGGCACACTTTGGCTTCAATTTCCCATTCACTCGGTAATGGTTTTGAGCAACCAAATATACCACGTGAATCACAACGCAGCATAGAACGCGTTACCACTTTGACCTGAGTAAATCGACACTCGGGGCCCACCTAACAAATAGACCAAACTTGAGAAAAAAATTCTGGTTTTACTCAGAATTTTTCTACCATTTCCAACACTTACAACTAGTATATCATCTATACGTGAGACAAAGTGAGTGTTTGGGAAGTGAATTTTTTTGTAAGTTTTTTTAATTGTAGGATATTATTAGAGAATTTTTTTTTTTTTTTTTGTGTTTGGAAAGATAATTGATTTTTTTTATGGTTGGATGTGATATTTGTGAAAGAAAAAGTAAAATGATTATGGAGTTTGCTGTAATATTTTGTTTGGATTTGCTTTTTTTAGTTTTGTAAAACTTTTGTTTTGTAGCGAAAAAAAGCAAAAAAAAAACCGAAAAACTAAGTTTCCAAAAGAAGTGAAGGAAAAAAAAAATAGAGAAAGAAAACAAAAGAAGTGAAGGAGAATGAGGGAGACTAAAATTTGTCACCATTTTTCTACCTTATTTCCCTTTTTGTTTCTAAGTAAGAAATTTTTTTAATAAATAGGGTAAATTATAAATATACCACTAAGGTTTGATTAAAATACAAATCGCTTCATGTGGTTTTAAAAATTATATTCTATCTCCTGAGGTTTCTAATTTCATAACAAAACGTCCATTTTATTAATAAATCATCAAGTCAATTAATAGTTTTTAATGATGTTATAAATATGTTTTAATTAATAATTTATGTAACTTTATTATTATGTAGAAGAGTAATTATGAATATCTCTTTTTTAGTTAATTCTGTTAAATAATTTTTTTTAACAATGGGAGATTTGTAATTTTTTAAACTATAAACCTGAGGGGCTATTTGTAATTTATCCCTAGAAATATGCTTAGTTGAGGGGTGTGATAAATGTTTGAAAATGTATAATTATTCTATTATTTTAGGGTGTTATTACATTTTATTATGGCAATTATTTTAATTTATATTTTATTGTGATTTAATAAATTAAATTTTTTTTTGGGTAAGAAATTGCAATTAAAAAAGGATTGGGCCAAATATAATAACAACAATGATAGAGACCACTAATTTTGGAGCTCTAAAAAGACCACTAATGACATGGCACTCAATAAAAAAAGAAAAAAATACAACACCAAGGCCAAAACATCAAATCATTAATGGTGAAACCCACTGCCACATCATTAATGGTAGCACTAATTAATGCTCTCACTCATTTTCTATATAATAATGAAGAAATTTGCAATACGGCAGGTGGCCTGGCGCCTACATTCGGTACGATCCAACCGTGGAAATAAGAGATTTATTTAATTAATATGCCTTGTTTGTCATGTATTAAAAAAATTAAAAGTTAAAAAATTACTATTTTATTTAAGTTATATTATCTTATTTAAGTCAAATTACCTCTCTATTACATCAGTTCAAACCCAACTCAAATCTAATTTATATTTCATAAAAAATTAAAAAATACACTTATTTAAAACATTCCAGACCAAACCTTAGTAAGTCTTTTGGTTTTTATTAGAGAGATTTGGGGTATCTTTTATCATAAATAGAAAAACGCTTCAGGCCTGGATTTTTTTTTTTTTTTTGTGCAAAGATGGTTTATGTGTAGGGGTGTGGTAAAAAATTAGACATTCCGCATCAACTCAACATGTGTGGTTTGATAAGGTGAGTGAGTTGGGTTAGACTAGTTTGGCGATAAAATTGATTTATCAGTTAGGCTGGAGGTTAAAATTTATTAATTCAATAATTTGTTAATTCTATACCGTTTTGTACAAATTTTATGAAATTAATAAATTTTAACCAGCAGCTTAACTGATCAGTCAATTTATCGTCAAACTAGTCCAACCAAGCTTACTTACCTTATCAGACCACACAGACTGAGTTGGTGCGAGATGGCTAATTTTTAGCACACCTTTACACATAACCATCCTTAAATAAAAAAAAAAAAAAAAAAAAAAAACAACCAAACCAACACAAAAAATAAGCATTTGAGCCTCGAAATTTCGAGGCATTTGGTATGACTGTAAAATATGTAAATTTGATTGTGGAAGGCATTATTAGGGTTGGTTTGACATGTTTGAAAAAAAGTTAAAAAGTCACTATCTTATTTAAGTCACATCATCTTATTTAAGTTACAACCTCTCTAACACATCACTTCAAACCCAACCCAAACTCAATCCATATTTCATAAAAAGTCAAAAAATACACTTATTTAAATCATCTCAAATAATCCCTTAATTCAGTAGTTTTTTAATACAGAATTGTCTTTTCTTTTATAAAGTTTTAGTTTTCTTTGCTAAGGTTAGGGGTAAAACCCCAATAGATTATCAGCTATGCTGCAGACCCCAGTGAGGTGGCGAGCCCCCACTGGCTGAAACTCAAAAAAAAATAAAAATAAAGCAGTTTTTTTTTTGTCCAATCATGGCGCGCCACCTCACTGGTGGTCGACCCCCAGTGGGGGTCCGAAGCATTTTTCATAGATTATTTGTGAGTATGTTATGTGTCAATCATAGTTTTTATTATAGATTATATCTTGATTGATTTAAATATTTTCGGATAAAGTTTTTGTTTTATAAAATTGTTTGCTTTATCATAGACTCCGGGTATGATAGAAACTTAAAATTCTCCACGAATCAAATAATTAAATTTTTATAGCGTAATCAATTAATCAAGTAATCAATCTTTTGGCATATTTATTTTTATAAAATAACTTTTTTATCTTCTTATTAGAAACACCATTTGTATAGTTTCCAATTGAATTATATATATTGAATCTAAAATATGTTACAAAGAAAATATTGATGGTGAATCCTTAATGTCTTACTGCCTTCGCATTATTGTTACTGCAGATTACTTGAGCTAATTAATTTTCTCAAATCATACAAACTTTTTTCAATCTATTTTATTCTCGATCACTTGGTTCTTTATTTGAATATACCGATCCTTAAGACTGCAAATGAATCGAGCTATTCGCGAGGTGGCTCAGCTTGTTAAAAGCTTGGCTCGGTAAGCATGACTCGTTTTATCTTTATTTAAATTATTAAATAAATAAATTATTTATATATTAAATATATATATATATATATATAAATAATAGTATAAATACATTGTTTATGCATTAAATAATATAAATAAATCTTATCGACCTGAGTTCGAACTCAATAAACAAACTCGATAAGCAAACGAGCCGAACTCGAGCTTAGCAAAGCTCAGTTCAACTCGCTCGTTTGCAGCCCTATCCTTGTGGATTCAACCTTAGACTCATCGAAAATATTTTGAATAAAATATTTCAAGTTGTCACGAAGCAATAAAGTCTCGGTAAGTCCAAGGTCGAATTCACAGGAATTGGTATATTCAAATAAAGAACCAAGTGATCAAAAGTAAAATAAAATAAAATAAAGTTGAATGAAAAAGATTTGAATGATTCGATAAAATAATTTATTAAAAATAATTTGAAGAATTAACCATATGAAAGTATTAAGGCATTAAGGATTTATCACCAATATTTTATTCGTAAAATATTTATGATTCAATTTGTATAACTCAACTGAAAATCACACAAAGGATATTTCTAATCGAGGAATAAAATAATTATTTTATAAAAATAATATCTCAAAAGATTGATTAGTTTGATTGATTAATTACACCATAAAAATCTAATTATTTGATATGTAGAGAATTCTAAGTTTCTATCGTGCTCGAAATCTGCAATAGAACAAACAATTATACAAAATATAAAACCTTACCTAAAAATATTTAAATCAATCAATCAATATAATCTAACAATAAAAACTATAATTGAATCATAAAAATACTTACAAACAATTCATTGTGGTTTCACCCCTAGTCGTAGTAAAGAAAACTAGAACTCCATAAACAAAAAGAAAATTCTGTATTAAAAAATGGCTGAATCAAAGATCTCCCATTACAATGAGTTTAACATGTATTTATATTATAATAAAAGAAATCTAAACCTAGCCTAATAGAATTAGGAAACTAAATAATTTAATTAAATAATAAAAAAAATACAAATAAATCTTCTAGTTGCTCGCGGGTCGGAGCCGCACCATCTCGCATGTATCGGTGATTTGCCCATGCTGTGCACATCCATTTCCACGAGAAGGCCCGTTCTTCCTTTCAATTGCAAGGTTTTTCATAATGTAATACTCTCTTATTTATTGAAAAACAAAAAAAAACACAAAACAAAAATACACGAAGCAGATAACTTCACGTTGGGGATTTTCTAAAATAAAAATAGATTTATTTTTTAATGTTTTCAAAAACCTTCTTTGTTTCCTTAAAAAACACATTTAACTTTGTGGCTTGTCCCACGTCGAAAAGATGAGAGAAAATAGATGGTTTAATAAATACTCATATAAATTATTTCTTTGAATAAAGAATTGTGAAAAAGGTGCTAGAGTATATGCTCATACACTGCAACCATTCACACACGCACACAGGTGCGGCGTTTGATGGTGCAAAGCGCCTTGAGGTTAGATCTAATCAGGTGTGATCAAGGATTTCGGATCCTATAAATACTTAGCACGGGCACTTGAGGTTAGATCTGATTAGATGCGATCAAGGATTTCTGATCCTATAAATACTTAGCACGGACACATCAGTGCAAAACGTCTTGAAATTAAATCTGATCAGGTGCAATCAAGGATTTCTAATCCTATAAATAGACATGCGATCAAGCCAATCAAAGCATCTAAAAATCTCAACGATCAAGTCTAAAATTCAATTCTCTCTCTTTCTTTTGATTTTGATTTTTCAATCAACAACTTTATGTTTTCCAAGAAACAAAATATCATACCTTGATGTCTTCGTCTGTGTAAACAGTTAGAAGATCTTTAGATTAGTTTCGTTGTATCCTGAAGACGGATTTGCTATTAATCCAATGCATACCATCTGGTGGGGACAAATATTTGTTTTAGAAAAGCGACAATCATAAAGCAACTCAATGTAATTTAGGCTTTTATTTTAAAGTAACATTATCAACATCGTCATCCCAAAGAAGACTTGCACCAACACTTCTTCTTGTTAGCCCAGCCATACTAGAAGACAAATAAAACTTAAATTATTTTGTTTAATCTAGAACAGAACGTACAATCCTTAAATATTTGGAATTGTCAAAGTGCCAATTAATTTCTTATCAGTCAATGAGCATTTTGTATTTCATAAAAATCAGCCTAAACCCGTGTACCAATATCACGACTTCATGGAGTTAAATCACGTTTTCTCATTGAAATTGTAAATCACTGCATAAATGTTATATGAATAACAAATGTTAAAATAATTATTTATTAAAAAATAATTTTTAATAAATAAATACCAATAAATATAGTAATTAGACAAAAAGTGTGGACAAGACAGTTAGTCTAATGGTCTATATAACTGTCTCCTAGGACTTTGAGAAGGTTAGAAGTTCACAATTCGAGTTGATGAATTAATTGCGACCCTTCGTTATAATCTAACTTATTAACCTCTAACATCTTATTGTAACATCTTATTGTATGGGGAAAAAAAAATAATGATGGGTAAATACTATATGTCAAGTGGTGAAGCTAGGGGTTGCCATCGACCCAATTCCGCACCTACCTGCCTACCCTAATTTTGTTTTTAGTTACTGAATATTTGCAGAAGCAAAGCTGTAAAAGAAAAAAAATTCCAACCTCAAATTCAATTTCGATATATAAAATGACAAATTAAATGTAGTACACACCTCCCTGAACCCAATCCTCCAAGGTCCAGATATTGCACACTATCAACAATTTTCCAACACAACCCGAATAAAATAAATATATCCCCAATGTTATTAACAAATAAATGCAATAATTATTCTACTTTTGCAACAGCAGCCAACTACAGCCATCAAAGCTATATAACAAATGTTTTTTAATTTTTTTTTTCTTTCTTCCCTGTGCTTATGTTGTCGAATGAGGCTCTTGCTTGCATTAAAATTCCCGGCCACATTTGTTAGCTCACTCCTTCAAGCTATAGAGAATAAAGATTTATTGAGAGGTATAGTACGGTGTGAAGTTGCAGCAACGGGGCACCCAGACAGACCATCCTGGAGAATTTAAAAAGGTCCATAGCTACCAACCAGTTTTGGCACGCTTCATCCCACTGGAACCAAAAGGAGAGATGCTTCCGCTTGGCCGAGGGCTCTCCTCTCTGAAATTGGAATTCAGCATCGCAAGTTCTCTTAGCTGTTGCCTTTTATAGATATCCTGTGACTCGTCCTGCAATTGAAGATGCAGAGTGTGCGTATGAATCTATCCATTCATGAAGGACAGACAATGTATGTTCACATGAATGCAAGAACGGCCTACAAAGGGCATTCGCAAAGATATTGATGTAGAATGCTGTAAAGAGGAGAGAAAATAAGAAGAGGGCTATAGCCCTAACATAAACAGCTACACAGCCTAATACGCCATATCAACAATCCAAGGCTAACAATAACAAGGCAACCTTAATAGACTAAAAACCCTAATTCAAAATAGGCATCTACATGATCCGTTAAGAATCATAAGAGACCCCTCAAAATGGATTGTCTTTCAACCGTAGATACAAGTAACTTATAAAAGAGAGAAAAAGATGGTTCTTAATTTACTTATCCTGATTTCTGCTCTGAATGTAAACATAAACTTTACTCCCTTTGAACTCCAAAAGGTCTACATTACATCGACTCAGGCACGGTTGTTGGGTGTAGGTATATGTCTAAACATCAGATTCATCAAATTCCAAATCCACAGACATAAGGGTACACCAAGATATTCATATTTCTTAAGTTCTTGTTTTATTTTATAAGGTGAAATGAATTTTACAAGGTGATGGGAAGCATTTCATGCATGATGTGAGAGTTTTATATATAATTACATGGAAAACTCAAATTACTAAACATGCTTGTTGGCAGAGTGTCTAGGCTCTAGCCACATGTCAGATAAGAATCCCTTATCCCAAGTGTTGTGTGTCCTGCATGGGTACTTCACATATTTAGAAGTCATTATGAAACATAGCAAAAGGTAAAACCTAAGTGAAATACATAGAAATTGAAATATTCATTCGAGTCTTTGATGGTAATTATTCACTTCCTCTTTGCTCATTATTAACGAGTGAGAATCGGAAAGTGTGGAAGGAGAGAAATAAGTACCACAGGTTTGAGCAGTTCTTCTATAATTTCTCGTGCCTGTCTCAATCGTACATCAACAATATTGGCAGGTAATTCTGCCTCTACTAAAATGTGCAGTGGATCATTCAGGTGCTCATAGCCTGGTCTTCCCCGTAGAATCTCCTCCTTCAGAATATATGAAGATATGATTGTAAAAGTTAAAATTCCAAAAAGGGGATACCCACTACCAATAATTGAATATATATGATAATAGAAGGAATTTGTACTAGAAATCATCTTCAAATTTTTAAGTTTGACTTGACCCCATTTGGCATATGCTAAAAAAACTGCTTTTCGGCTAAAGAGCAATAGCCTGTTTGACTTGAGCTAAAAAAAACTACTAAAAAGCTAAAAAAGCCAACGGTCTAACTGGAAAAAATAAAAAAAAATAAATAAAAATTAGCAATTATCAAACGCATCAGTTTTTTTAAATTCAAAAAAAGCAAAAAAGTAAAAAAACAATTGCCAAACTCCACCTAACTCGAGATTAAAGCTTAAATATATTTGTAATCATAAGCTTTAAGAGTTGGAAACAAATATAACCTTGTCAGGGTCTTTTATTGAACCTTTTCCTCTAATGAATACTCTGCAACCTGTTGAAGCTTCCACACGTTTTAAGGAATTGCCCCGAGGACCTAGAAGCCGCCCAACAAAATTGAACTAATGTTCACAAGCAATGTAGTCAGCCTAAGCACTTTCTGATAATGGGAATAATTTCAGGAATCAAACTTTATCAAAACAATGTCACAGCTTACATTTGGATAGCTGTCCACCGGTATCTCCAAGCGCAATATCCTCTTCACAATGTAGGAACTTGGACTTCCTGGGGCTGCGTGCCAGTCCATTATCCCTTGCGGTGCACTAAACCTATGCTGCATAATGAACGTCAGATTTATTAAAACTGGAACCATGGTTGCATATTTAAAGAAAAATATAGAAAAGCATGAAATGGAAATAAAGCAGCCATTTTTTTTCATAAAAAAAAAATTAGAGAAACAGATGATCAAGAGAGTTCTTGTTGCTCATTACTCAACAAGAGAATTTGTAAAAAGGTACGAGGATGAAATAAATGGGTGCTACATATATTTAAATTTTCATCCAGCTAGTGTACCTCAACCACCTATTGAGGGCACATATCTCTGTAACTGAAATAAAATAAAATAAAATAAAATACAGAGGAAACAATGAATGGATGAGTCACATTTGGGATTCTATATAATAACATGTGGGAGCAGACGCTTTTGAAATTGACTACAGTTAGCTTAAAACATGTTCATCATGTGGCTGAGTAAGGTGCATCTGTGTGAAGCAGCCTAGCATCACTTCAGAAATGGATGACATAAAAACTCAAAGCAAAGCAAGTTCTTTGGATCAATATACTGTATGATGGGTGAACAACAATTGGGGAGTGGATGCTGGTCAAATCCCCACCAATGGCTGAGATGCTCAACATTTTAGCTTCATATCTAAATATTACCGCAACTAAACAACAATGTGGGAGTTGACCCAAGCAATCAATTAAAAAGCTAAAGTAAATTACATACCCAAACAATGGATTCAATGATACATATGCCCAAGGACCAATGTAGTTCCTCTGTTCTTTATCCAATAAAATATTCTTTTTTGTATATCAAAAGGAATGTGTATGGATAATGATCTCCAATCTATTATGGAAATGAAAGGCTAGGTTGCCAATACCAAGCATCCAAAAGGCCTGGATCAGGTTGATTTTAGCCTTTCAGCAAAATAAAATGGCACTAGGTTAGAATTTTACAATTCCACAAGTGCATAGGTACATTAGTTTGTATAAATGTTCTAGTTTCCCTTTTATCCTTATTTTTTTCTTCCTCTTTCGCGCTATTTATTTAGATTTTCCTTGGTTATCTTCTGGCTTTCTTATTGACTTCTCGAACTTTTTGAGTAGCTTGAAAAGCAGATTACAGCTAGAAACTTGGCAGATCACATGCTGGTTGTGAGATATATCATTGGAGATTACATCATTAGGGAGCAAAGGAACTTTCCACATCGTACAATTCTCAACTTCAACTTAATAACACATATAGACCTACAGCTCTATTGAATCTAGATTGTTAGGTTTTTGTAATTGGCAATCCTGTTTGACAAAACTCCATTCAATTGTAATTTTATTCGCTATTATGTTTCAGTGAAGATGTGAGTGTTTAGATGCGAATCCAACCCAAATTGTGCCTATGCAAAGGAGTTTATAATCTTAATCATGTCATGTTTACCACTTCACTGACTAAGTACGGGGATCGAGCTGCCTAGTCAGCTCGCGGGGGTTCAGGGGACAGCGCTCCATGACAGGTCTAGGACAGCGCCCGAGCAGGGTCGAGGGACAACGCCCCCGAAGCAAAAATAAAAAATGCAGTTGAAATTGTTTGACCGCTCGAGCGGTTGTTTGCGCGCTCAAGCAAAGAAATAGATCATCCAGTACTTCTGCAGAGCGTCTGAACTTCTGGGAAGAAAGTTTTACCGCTCGAGCGGTAAAAGTTGCACGAGTGGTCAGCATATATGTTTTGCACAGCCTTTAGTCACACTGCTCAAGTGGTGAAATATGCGTTCGAGCGGTCTACGCGATCCTATTTTCTATAAAGTGCGCTGTTCATTGTTTTTAGGTTCTGAGCCATCCATATTTTCAGAGAGGAAGAAAAAAACAAAGTGTTTTATATTGGATGGTGATTTATGAGTGTTTTTTCGATGATTTAAGAATGATTAATGGATCTATGAACTTTATATCAACATTATCAAGGGGTTTGTTTATTTCCTTTTATTCGCAAAAGAGAGAGTTGTTCTTCGGTGGATTCTGAGGAACTTGGGCCTGAAGCTTTGATGGATTCCGGAGTGGCTCATCTTAGTGGATTCAACATCAACGTTTTGGATTCAAGGTTGGGCAAGAAAATTCTAAGGTAAAGATGGTGGTAGAAGAGGCACATTAGGGTCAGTTCAATTTGAATGTGGATTTGTTAAGTAATTGAGAGCACACTTATGTAATTCCTTTTTTTATCTTCTTAGTGAATTATTTTGTAGTTTTGGCCCGATATTTTTTTATCACAATTTGAAGCGCTCCTATTGTGGTTTTTTCACGTTAAATCGTTGTGTCAATTCATCTTTGATTGTTTGATTAGGATTGTTACTTACTGTTTAAAATTGATATATAATCACAAATCAATATCTCGGGAATTTTTAGATTTTTCATAGATAATGGACTCCAAAAAATGGGATATAAGCTTTGTTAATGTGGGTATTGAAAACAATTACCATTTGTTAAATGTGGTCATTGATACTTAATCAATTAGTTGGCATAATGGAGATATTTCTATGAACTTTGGTCGTCACTATCACTACATCAACTAGTTAGCTAATCATTTCTCCCAATTGTCTGTTACTTTCAAAGTCCTAGGTTTTCCATGAAGAGACCAATCAACAGGAAGAAAAGGGGGGTTGGGGGAACAAGTATTAGGATAGGAAGTTTGAGTTTAACTTGTCTAATCTCAAAGTCCATTGTACAACAACCAGTATGAACTTTGAAGCATTTTATATGCAGAAAAGAGATGGACATTCACTTCAATCAATACTATTACAAAAATGGTAGAAGAAGCTTATTTCTTTTATGAAAACTGCCTTGCTATCTGATAATCTTGAACCTATAATATGCTGCCATATTAATTTAGATTATAGTACAGAACTTAAGTCACTATTTGATTTTGCAATTTTATGCAATATAAAGAATTTAAAGATAAGGATCTGTGGCTAGGTGCTTGTTGAGCTCCAATACAGCTTGATGTTACACCAATTAAAGCTACTACTTGAACTATGTGTGGCCCAAATGAGTAGAGGCTACCAGATCATCACCATACTGGCCCATACAATCAAGTTATAAGGACATCTAATACATATCCTCCACACATGGAGGCACACCCTTGTTAGAATAGGAAATAAGTGATTGTATTTTATTCTTATTTATTTCCTTGATTGGTGTAATGGGCTGGCCCATATATTATGCCTTATGGCACTCCTGTAATTACTTAGTATTATCAATATAAAGAGGAATGAAGTCTCATTCCCTAATTCTTTCTCTTCTCTAAGCTGACATGGTATCAGAGCTATGCCCTAGCCAACTCTCCTCTATTACCCATCACTACAGGTGACCTCCTCTCTTTTGTAGCCTAGACGACAGCCCCAAACAGCCACCCGACAATCTTCAGGGTATATGTGAGTTACTATGGATTAAACTATTGTTGGAAGACTTGGGAATCCATCAAATTGACTCCACGCGATTAAACTGTGACAACAAGGCTACAATCAACATAGCTCATAATCCAGTTCAACGTGATAGAACTAAAACTGTGGAGATTGATATGCACTTCATCAAATAGACCCAAGTAGCCCTGGAACAATCATCTATAAAGGTGACAAACCATTTTTAACCGGTTAAAGACAAAACGGGATGGACCACATACATCTGAATGAATCAAAGAAAATGGAACTAAAATTTTATTAATAGAATGAGCAAAAGAGGCTCTGTGTTGTTTTCCAAATTGACAAGACACACATTGAAAATCTGACACATTATTTTTCTCAAAAACAAAAGGAAATAAATGTTTAAGTCATAAAAAAGAGGGATGCCCCAAGCAACGTTGCCACAACCAAATGTCTTCCTTGGTGGGTGGTAATTGAATAGATGAATGAGCCAGCTTGTCTGTCTGATCCAGAATGTAGAGCCCATGTTCCTCTCTACCGCTACCAATCATCTTCCTCGTGATAAGGTCTTGAAAAAGACAACGATCAGGAAAAAATGTCACGCTACAATTTAAGTCACGGGTAATGCAATTCAAAGATAAAAGATTAACACTAAAATTGGGAATATGGAGGACAGAGGACAAAGGAAGGAAATAGGTGGCATGAATTAAACCTTTCCTTGACACAGATGAAATAGTACCATCAACAATACACACTTTTTCCTGACTTGAGGAGGGATTATACTCTGAAAATAAATTAGAGGAGCCAGACATATGGTCAGAAACATTAGAATCAATAATCCATGGTACAGTCGTATGAAATAGCAATGCACATGGGGAGGAAGCCAAGTTACTTGAATTGGCAAAGGAAGAAGAGAGTGCACCTATAGCGAAAGTAGAGGCTTGACAATCTAGCAAGTGGCAAAGAGTAATCTCAAAATCCGAGGCAAATAACCCCAAAACATCAGTAACAGAGTAAACAACTGGAGATGAAGATGGGGGCTCAACAGTGTCTGAAAGATGGGCTCGTGCATTGGCCCCTCAGCCTCTAGTACCAGACCAACTCCCTCAAGTACCAGGACGGTCGCCTCGGCCACCAGAGGGAGTTCCATGCAGCTTCCAGCAAGTCTCTCGTGTGTGGCGAGGTTGACGACAGTAGTCACAGTAAAGATTATCCTTCTCAGAGGAAGGACGAGAACCACAAGTCACACGGTTGCTATCGCAAGAGGGTGCAAAAACCAAGACCAAACGATCAGTAGTAGTAGAAGAAAGCATCGTAGAACGGTGACTCTCCTCATTCTGCACAAAAGCAAAGGCTTCCTAGAAAGAAGGAAGCACATTCATGCCAAGTACTTTGGTCCGAACCGGATCATACTCCACATTTAAGCCTTCCAATAACTTGAAAACCCGCTTTTGCGCCATAAACTTCCGGTAACCAGCAGAATCAGTGAAACAGACAGGCTTGCAATCCTGAAGGTGATCAAGCCACTTCCATCTATTGCTAAGGAAGGTAAAATACTGGAGGATAGTTTGCTTACCTTGTACTGACCTTTCAATGGAGCGATATAACTTGAAAGCCTGTGAGAAGTTTCCCTTCCTAGAGTAAGTAGCTG